GCTCCTGCCTTGGTATCAAGGGGGAAAGTTCAAAACTGTGAGTACCAAGTGGCAGCTCAAGTTCAAGCAAAAGCAGCTACTGAAATACATTGTGGATTGTGCTGTAGAAAGGAAAGGTGGCTCTGTTTGAGCTATCAAATGTCACAAGCAGGGTGAGCAGTTTTAAGAGGTTAGGGTGGGGAAAAGGGTCTCTTTTCCCCCTCACTCACCTCATGTGCCAATCTCTCAGATGTTCTGAAATTTCCTGATGCCCTTACCCTACCAAGGAGCTGCAGTGCAAAACATCACTGCACCCATGTGTCCTCCTCTCCTGGACTTGCTGTTCTGTACCACCAACCAACTGTGCTTCTCATTCACTCCTCTTTAAGAATCTGTATGTCCACAAAACCCCACACAAACCAGTCTTGGTTTGCTCCAGCACTTTGCCAGGGAGTAGGAGGAACAGTATGAGTCTGAGCTGGGAAGAGGGAGCTCCTCCAGTTCTCCAGTAGTCAAACAGAAATGCCACAGAGCTCGCACATTCCCAGCCCTGGAATGTGGGGAAAGAAAGAGGGATCAGGAAAGGAGAAAAAGTGCAGAATACAGGGCAGGAGACAAGGCCAATTCCATGGAGTTTGTCTCATCACAACAGTATCACCTAATGCATTATTATTTGGTGTTGCCTGGTATCCTTGTACAGTAAGAACTGCAGCACTACAGTAGTACTGGAAAATTGTTCACCAGTATACCTGAAAAGCACAGATTCCAACCTGTCTGCTGTACCATGCACTCTGGAATGCAAACACAACTAGGAGCCTTTGAGGACAGGGTCTGAATGCTTGTGCTCATTAAGACATCTTTGAGAGAACTGAACAACTACTTCTACCCCAAACTGCACTTTAAGAAAGTATTTAACACATATACTCAGAGGTAAGAAAACAAGCAACTTGCCATCGCTATTAATAGGAGAATTACAGCAATACATATGAATAAGAGATAATGAATTCCAGAGACATCAGTCAGAATAATCCAGAGACATTCCCAAAGTGAGAAAAACAGAACAGTACAGTGGGATTCATTCAAACACTCAACAGCTTTCCTTGGGAAAGCTCTGAGGTATAAACCTCAGTCCACGCATTTGAAATGATCTGTAAAATCCATATTGGAGCTTTGTTTCCTCTTTGCTCAAATTAGCTTTTATTCCTATGGAGTCCTACACAGCCCTGAGCAACAACCAGGATCAGAGAAAAAGTGCAGGACTTGAAACAGCCCTTCATCTCTATAGTCATCAGTACATCACATTTCTAGTGAAAACGATTCAGGGAGTTAACAAAAAAAGTTTCTAGCAGTCACGCATTGCTATCACTAAATCAAACATGATAAAACAGGTGCTGCAACCCACAAGTGATGAAAAAACAGATGAAGTGGGCAGGGATGACAAGGCTGGAAAACAGTGGCAGCCTCTGGCTAGGATTGAAGAGTGCTGCTGGGATGGGTGTGCAGTCTGGCAGCCAGGGAAGGGGCTGTAAGTGTCAGAATAGGTATGTTCTAGAAGGAGAATTCTAGAAAAAAAAAAGACTAAAGCTGGAAGATTTCCTACACATGATGCCCAGGTTCATTAACTGGCCACCACTGAAGAAATGGATAAAGGATGTAAGCCACATGGTTATTAGCTTTCACTTACTGAGAAATATTCAAAAAACTAGCTTTTCAGGCTCTTTTGATTCCTTGAGGGCAGGGGCAAAGGTTGAAGAGCTGTGTTCTTCCATACTGAAAGCCTGTACCATACAAGTACAAACTAACTCTAGACCACCTACAGGACAGCCTATACTAAATGCAAACAAAACTGAGCAGAAATGAGAAAAATGTGCCAACACTGAAGATAGCACTAAAGTACCAGAATGTAAAAAGAACTCCTAGAAGACTATGAAACCGAAACTACACACCAGGATTAACTCCACATTCAACACGTATCAGAAAGACATAAACAGGTTAAACATGCAAAACCCAACTCACTGCTAAGTCTGAGATGATATGATCAACCACTACCAAGTGTGGATAACATCACATTAACACTGGAAAGTTCTTAAGTTATTTGAGCCACCATCAATACATGGAAATCCTAAACAAAGCCACTAGTTTGCAAGCAAACAGTAAAAATATTATTTTTGTAATTGATATAATCACTATTATTTAAAGCAAGTAGTCAGTTTCCGTTTGGAGAAAATGTTTAAGCAGCCTGTCAGCCTTCCAAGAAATAGCTTTGAAAGATTTATTAATCATCTAAAGCTTGTTGTGCTAGAAATATGCATGAGCCCATCCTCAAGGGAAAGATCACCCCAGGATCCCTAGTGGGATCAGAACAACCACAATACCAGGAGGGGAGGAGAACAGCACAGCTGGGAATAGGGAGAACAAAGTTTTAACAGAAATTATTAAAATTAGGCTTTTTAAAAGCTTCATAATATAAACACTAGAGCACTGCATCCCTTATGAATAAAACTGTCTGTTCCAAATATGATATTTATGAATGAGGTTAGTCTACAAAGCCATGGGACTACAAACATCAGGGCACAATAAAATGAACCTCCTAATTCTGAAGTTGGTTGTATTTCATAGGCTAAAAAGCAGGAGACCTTTTTATATTAGATCTAAGGTGATACAGATGCCAAATGACATTTTGGAGGCAATGTGTAGCTTTAAGGAGATATCAGGAAAAGCAGACTGGACACCTCCACAGAAGATAATAATTATACATCTAAGCACCCAGAAAGCATTCTGATATTGTGGCAGACAGAATTAAAGCTGAACAATCTGAAACCTCAGAGGCAATCTAGCTTTGCTCAGCTCACGGGAGGGAGTTTTCCCTTGTACCTAATGAATAAACATAAAAATACTTTGTTAGTTTCTCATGTAAATTCTTTTTACTGTCCCTAATTATTTTCTACATTTTTAAAAAAAATATTTTTAATGAGTCACAACAAAAATATAAGACATAAACATGTTTCTAGTGTTTTAACATGAAAATAAATAGCTGTCATTAGCAGTTCACAATGTTCTGTACACCTATATTGATTTTGTTTGCTTTGGAAAGAATAATCCTGACAAACAACTGTGAGTATCCACTCACAATAATACAGATGTTGATGATAAAACACATCAGTCTATGATAATAGACTAGTGGAACAGTGGGAATGACCCACTTGGACATGACACACAGACACTCCCTTCTGTTAATGAAAGTTTGGCAACCACATCACACTTCCTCCTGCCCCACTGCTGCAGGGTCCTGTGAACAAAGTGACATCATCATCATCATCATCATCATCACCAGTCTGAGACAGAGTAACCTGTGACCTTGTAACTCTTCTCTGTGTTGATACTGGGAATTCCCTTGTTTCTTACCTGGACTAACACTTCCATTTCTGCTACTTTCTCATTAGAAAAAGCCATCATGTGAATAAAAAAAAAAAAAGGAATGCATTCGTTTTTGTGTAAACATTTTTATAAAAGCATTTAAAATCAAAACAGCATCTTCAAATAGCACATGGCTGAAAGAATATAACAACAAAACAAACAACACTTGAGGACAACAATTTATTTTGAAGCCAAAAATTCTTTAGTAACTAGAAGAACAGAGAAGCATCTGTTTTTAACACATTCTATGCTAAGAAAAGGAAGATTACTCTCAGTTGGTTAGGTATATTCAAATACCTGCATACCCTTTGAAGTTATTAAAAATTGCAACTTTAAAGGAAGTGAATAGAGCATCCCCTTGGGCTCTGGCTACAGTTTTGTGATACAAAGGTTGATGGCAAATTCAGCATGGGGAATTCCCACCTGAGCTCTGCATTCCTGTCTCTGTGCCCTAGAACATCCGCCCTTCTGGACCAAGAGACATTTCTAGGACCATGCTGTGACCCAGAGCAGTTATCTGGTAACACTCAAATGTCCCCTGCACAGCACAGGCCCATAAACACCTGCATTAGCCCTGACCTGAACTGCTCCTCTCCTGAAGAAGAGAGTAGGGCAGGTGGAACTAGGTGAGGATAGAAGGTGACAACTTATTTAGCACTTCCATCTTTGATCTTGTAAAACAAACAAAGGAGAACCCAACCTGTATGCTGGCAGTAAAGAACATTTTCTAGCTGTTAAAAATTATTACTGTGAATGAGCAATAATTGTCCATAGCATTCATCAAATCTTTTATGTATGGGACAAGCCAATGACGTAAATATATTTTTTGTCACCACATCCTTTAAATAATACAAGTAATTACAAATCAGTTCATTTACTTTACATAATTGCTTTCCCAAAATTTGAAGCTATTTTAAAAATTCTATCCTCCTTACAATTTATACTTGTGGCTTGTTTTCCTGATGGAAATATTTTTGGCCAGGAGACCATATTTAACCTACATTAAACACCTATTTAAACTAAACAGCCACATAAGGACTTCTCCCTACCAAGAGCTGGACAAATCCTAAACCTTACACAATCTCCCAAGGGATGACAGCCAGTTTTCTATAACAATGTATTGATGCCTCAGGTTTTAGCTTTTATATTTTTCAGATTCTGTACTGCTTTAGTGTGTAGTTCTGAGCTTCATATAAAGGGATGGTGAGCTCTCTTCACAGAGTAGCTGGACAAAACAATTCCTCTCCTAGCTTGGGACCAAGGACTACCACCCAAATTTCAGGCCCAAGAGCATAAACAACGTGGACTGAAGAGAGAAAAACAAGAAGGATGGGACTTCATAACCTAAAGCTGTAATTGGACAATTAACTGCAATATGCAAATGGAGCAGAACTGATCAAAGTGAGAGACCCCGTGAGTGGTTGTGCATTTTGTGATCATTTTGGTTCACCTTGGGTGCAGCCCTGGCTGGGCTCTTGTGCTGCCCTAGGTGGATCCATGGAGATCTTTCAATAAATCCCTCCTTTATTCTTTAACTCTGTCTAGCCTCTGTTCTAGGCCAGCCTTCACAAGGCATCAGTATATTCCCAACCCCATTCACTCACCACTTTCATCAAGTAAGTCCTCCTCGTCATCCCCGTCATTGTCCTCCTCCATCGCCTCCTCCTCATCTTCCTCCTCCTCCTCTTCCATATCCTCCTGCTCCAAGTCCGGGTCCAGGTCCGGATCACTCCCTGAGATTGACTCGTCTGACATGATTCCCAGTGGTGCTCCTTGTGCATTACCTGCTCATGTTCTACCGTGAGGCAGCCCTGCAAGGACACCAAAGAGGAACGTGAGCCCAGCAAATCCCAGCCTTTGAGCCCCAAGGCTCAACATCACAGCAGCATTACTGCACAGAAAAAACCAAATCAGCCTTTTAAATAACAGACTTAGATATCAGACAAAGCACAAAATCCTGTGGAGAAAACAGATGCTGCAAGAAATGGATCATAATGATACAGGCCCAGCATTGAATAATCTCCATCTCTTCATTGGTGCCCTTGAGGAATCTTCCTGCTGAAAAATTCCTGGTATCAATGCCTGATTATTCAGAGATGCAAAAACTAATAAATTATGTGAATAATTTCAAAACACTACTATCCAAAAAGGAAGCATACAGCCAAGGATCAGTGTCAGCATCCCCTCTGGATACCTGTTACCCTGATCCCTGCAAACACCATCACAGTGAGCAGATGTGGCTCAGAGACAGAAAGCCCCTCCTGCCTCAGCTGTACCCACTGCAAAGGTCACCCACCTCCTCACCATAGCCTGGCTGAAGTCTCTGATCCAGCCACACAACAAAAGCACTGTTACCTTCACAGTTCGGGCAGAAAACCACAAAGATCCAGTTGTAAAAGTTGAACTCCCATTGTAAAACAGGGCAAGAAGAAAAGTAAACACGAAGAAAGAATGGACCAGACAAAATTTGCATTTCGTTTCTCTTAAGGAGAAGAACTGGGGCTGGCTGTGCATAACTTCTCTGTTACATCACTCCAGTGCATTACAGCAGAAATTGTGGTAGACCACAAAAATAAAGCCTCAAGAGAGGACCAGGGCAATCACCAAGTCACCAGTTTATCTGTTCAGATCATGCACTGTCACTTCTAGTCAATGATGGGTACTCCTGAGCACTCCTCTTCCATACACACAGAATGATCCTAGAGGAGCCATGTAAGATGATGAAAAGAAACACAACCAAGGAAGGAAAATAAAGAAGGCATCTTGATCTTAAGGAACATAAGCAAAGGATGTATTCAAAGATCAAGCTGCAGAAGAATTACTACCCACACATTCTCCAAAACCTTTAAAGAAGGATGAAGGAAACATTTCCTCATCACTCACTTCCCACTGCCCCCTACTTATACCACATTTCCACTGTAAACTATAAAATGTTTGAGAACTAATCAGCCACTTAAAAACAAACCTAAATCCCAAACATCTAAGCAGATAAGGCAGTTCAAATATCTGTAAACACTTAAAATTTCATTTAATTTAACACTTAAATTTCATTTTCAGCTGTGTTTCAGCAGTTACCAGATTAACTCAGAAACCTGAAGGTTAAAGACAACACCCCTGTAGCAGGGCTGAAAATCTAACTGTCTAACTGTTGAGTATGCTGAATTATTCCAGCTCAAGTCATCAGCTCCTGCTCTGCCATTGAATAACATTGAAGAGTGTCAGAAAAAAAGTAAATACAGGGAAGAGAAGGCATTGCAGAGATTGGCTTTGGAACAGGAAGCCTTTCACTACTCAGTCCCAGGAGCTCTTTACCACCAGGCAGAGACAACTGAAGTCCCTCCACTAGTACACGTGTCACACAGAATAAGTTGGCTTGGTCAAGCAGATGGCAGAAAAGGCCAAAACCTGAATTAGCTCAAGTGGAACTGTGCCAGTTTACACAAGCCAAAGATATTAATTCAGCTTCTGTGGTCTGCAGGTATAAGCCCAGTTGCTGTCAGGCTGCTGCAACACGGTCACCTCCAGCATCTCTTGTTTTCTGGTGTCTGGTGACTTCAATCGAGGGCTGCATACACAAAGCCATCTATTATCAGAAGATTTTCCTAAGAAAAGTTGTGCTAAAGTCTATGTCTATTTCAAAACAAGGTCTATTTCAAAACAGTGGCTTATTTTTTCTTTTACATGGAACCAACCAACCAAAGAAACACAAACACTGCTAATACAGCAGGAATGAACTCTCCTCTACAAACAGCAAAAGCAGAAGTGCTGTAATGTCACTAAATGCTCCAGGTCAAAGAATGACACATGATACAGTTTCTCCCATCAGTATCCTCCTGTGTGTCATCCTCTCATGTCCCATCATTTGTCCCAGAACCTTAAAATATAAAAAACCCAAATCAAAACACAAAACATTCTCTGAAAATTGTTTAAATGCAAGGCTATGGGTCCCTGTGTCTTAACAGATAAAATCAAACCCAGTGGAGAGCAGCTCTCCCTCAGACTGGAGCACAAAAGGGCTCGAATCTAAGCTTTATTTTTGTTTAGCAGTAACTAAACGTTCTGTATAAGCCAACTCCTGACACCCGCTCGGCAGCCCCAGCCATATGCAGGGGAGTTAAACAGAAGCCTTTGAAAAAACTTAACTAAATCTTGCAGAGCTGGGTGAAACAAAGATGGTTAACTGCTCCGTGCCCACTGTCGTGCTGCCGTCTATCTCTGTCCCTTCCCCTCCCTGGGGCTGGGTCCCGGGAGGGCTCCCGCCCTGCCTGGTGCCAGCAGGTACGCGGTGCACAGCCCAGAGCCTGCCCTCGTTTCTCACACCGATCTGACCCAGTTCGGAGCCTCCCACCAAGGGGAATTACACAACAGGGCCAGATTGTGGCTGCCGCTACTGTTTTATGGCTGAGTTATTCCAACCTGCCCCATCTCCTGCCTTTGCAGACGCAGGCACTGTGCTCAGTGTTTAATCGCTGGAGGAAGGGCACTTTGCGAGAGATAAACTGATTACCTGACACATCCCCGCACGGGATGTGAGCTCAGGAGGGTTACAGCTCCAAGAAATCCCAATCAAACCCTCTGCACCACCCTTACAGCAGATATTCAGCCTTCCAGCACAGTGCCTCAACAGTGGTGAGGCTGCTGAGAAACCGGGCTGGGATCTTAGGGGGAAACACTTGGAAAAATTCCTCTTGCTTACTCAGGGAGGAAAAAAGAGCTGTCATGTTTATCCTACCCAGAAGTTAAACCCTGCAATCAACTGCACATCAAATTAACATCCAAGACAGCCTCTCTCATGTATTATGTCCCGTCTTTCAACAAAGATAAAAATAGTTCTGAAGTTTTTTGGGCTTTGCTTTTTTAAGGTAGAACACCTCAGATAGTAAGTAAATGCCATGTGCTGATTACTGCCTCCTCCTCAAGCCTGCACAGAAAGGAGGCCCACTTCTAGGTGAGGAAACCTTGAGAATTTGGACACATTTCTGTTGTCCTAACGTTTTTCTTTCCCTCTGCAAAGCTTTAAGATTACTTCTCACATATAAAGTTGAGAGAGAAATGTGAAAGCAACTTTTCCCCTTCTACACGATAGTTGTTCACAGCAGAGTTGTGCATGCCACGAGCCAAACTGTTAAATGAAACTGCAGTCATCAAGGGATGTGGGGACTTAGGGCATTTCTGTACATCACTTTCATCAGAGGATCCACTAGCACTGTAAATACTAAACCATTATTTAATTAACTATTACAGATATCATCAAGTAAAAAGCAAGGATGCAGGACAAGGCAGAATAGAGTCCTTCCTCACTTGAGGAGAAGGAGCAGGGTTTCCCTTACCTACAGAAACCCACAAAAACCAAAGTAACCTTACAGAAGCTCTTTGCCCACTACAACACAAGCGATTTAGGGACAGGACATGCTCATTCCTGAGTACACAACCATCCCATACAAATCCCTTCAGAAAGGGCAGGTTTAACACTAATGCTGCTCCAGTGCTGAACAGTAAAGAGGATTCCATCACCTCTCCAACCTCCAGCCAAGCCCAATATCTGGGACTCATCAAGATTTGTCCCTTAAAGCCTGTTTTGTAACCAAGACTTCACACTGGCCACTGTGGTGTCAGGCCATAGAAACAGGATCAAGCACCCTGGCAAATTGCAAGAGGATTTGCACAGACAAATAAAACACATTTTAATAAAAACAGATATTTCTAAGTCTGTACTGCATAACGCTCTTCACTGTTTGTTACACAGTCGTGTTTTATGGAAACAATAATTTCCTTTTCTGTTTTTCTTTTTTGTTGGGCAACAAAAGAGTAAAATGGTTGATTGGGGCCATAAGATTCCTCTCAGTGCACTCAGCTCACACACAAACACTCCAAACTGGACATGTATGAGGGTAATGCTGGTTCCTTGGGGGAAATCTCATCTGTGTGTGTGTTAGACCACTACTAGCACCATTCTGGTACCTCCAGTATCTAGCAGAACATTACCATAAAGCACACAACTGCATGAGTAAAGGAACTATGAGCTTAAGCTTCTCTATGACAAAAAGTCCTGTAACAGTTTGCAAGCAGTAACTTGCAATGTTATTGCAAAATAACAATTAATAGTTCTCTGTTCCACTTCAAAATCTAGTTAGAAATAACCTGAGATCAGTGGTTTTGAACAGTTCGAGTCCAACAAACACTTCAAATTCTCTAATTTACATTATGCAACATATTAAAACCTCTATTAAATTATCATGTAAAAAATGGTATCAGGGGAATCACCTAAAAGGATAAATATTTTTTTCAAAAAGGAGACAACAGTTTTACTATAGTAGTCCAGCAGACCTCTATATGCTTTAAACAAAGCAAAGAACTGTTTCCTGAAAAAACAAAAGGAACTTATTCCCCCCAAGTTGCATTTAAAGCCATCCTTAATTGATACTTTGTGATTTAGATCCCTTCCCCCTTTGCAGCCTGAGACTGTAGAGAGTCCAGCTATGCAGTTTCTCTGCTGTGACTCACAGCTAACTGGTGGCCACAGGCTGCTGGCTGGGAAAGAAGAAAACAATTCTCCTCCTTCATTTTATCTTGTTCAAATCACAAACAAACTAAGTAGCATTGATCCCCTCTAACTGATGTGTTCTCCACAGGAATATTAAACTGAAGGGAAAAGAAGCAGCCTGTGAAATCATAAATTGAGGAGCATCTGCTTGTCCTGGACCACTCTTCTGAGGAAGGCAAGTGTGCTTCTCCCCATTCCACATGACTATTGAACAATGGATCACACTGCATGTGAGTATTAAGGAGCCCACTGTGATTTGTGGAGAAC